CGAACGTTGCCTCGGTGATCACCGGGGATCTCCACCTTACGCTGCAGCGCTGACACCTCTCGTGTTGCTGTGTAAGGATCTGCTGATAAGTTCCAAATTACATGAGTTTTCAGAAAAGGCCGATTTATCAGCACCAGCTGTGGTACTGCGGACGACTGTCAGTTTAGCGCGAAGGCGATTTTTGAGTATTTAAACACTTCGGCGTCTAGAGCTGGATACGAAGGGTGGGAAAAATTATGAAAAGCATCATCCGATATATCTGGAGTGAGCCATGTTCTCAGAGCGTGGCTAAAGTCGTGCATATGATTAGATGCTTCAGATCGTGGCTGCATAGCTAAGGCACTCGCAAATGGTAATCACGCTCAGTGAAGCCTTCATAGGTAGTGGTCTGTATATAAGCGCTGGCATAATGCCAACAGCCTAGGCCAAATAAGCGTTAGTGGGTGATGAGCGAGTTCATCCCTGATCCCTTGGGTAGGGTGAAAATCGGTCGACGATTTGTCGACCATTTTCGCCTGTTCAGTCACGATCTCTCGCGCGGACATTCACTCTCGCCACCGCGAGCCGTCTGTGCTCTCCGCGCGTACATTCACTCTCGACACTACTCTCACACAGTACAGAGCCATGGTCGAGGATTTCCTCGACCGTTATTCACCCTGTCCTTGGGTCATTTCGAGGGATGAAAGCTTGCTTTGAGCCTGACGTTTTTGAGCTATTGCTAAGGGCTATGTATCGTCACTTTTCTTCTCTATTTGAAGTTTCCATCTATTGAAGACTCATAATTTCATACAACCATTTGTGAGTACAGCTCCAGATCCGAACCCTCTCTAAACTAATTCTTCCAACACTACCCAGCCCTTATAATTTTTCGCCCCACACCGGATGTCAACCAGACTTGGGAGTTGTGTGCGCTGGTGATAACGGCGTTTTTATCTTCGCAGTTATTGTCTCGCCTTATTGTCCCTACATTTCTTGATGGAATTCGTGGGTGGAGGAGCTGTGGGGTGCAAAGCTCATTCAACAGTCGATTCCGCACTTTGAAGTCTTCCTGCTTCATCAAAAAGGACATGTTTGATAAGCTTTAGGAAGGCAAGGGGCAAGGCAAATCGTCCGCAACATCCATCATTGGTCCATCACCAGTGCAGATGAAGGAAGAAAGGAAGATTAAGTTCTCTGAAATTGGGAATCCTTGAATCCTCAGCTTTCCTCACACCGAGGTGATGAACTGTTGCAGCCATGGGTTTGGAGCAGCTTTGGGGCCAGTTTATGTTGCTCCCGTTGCACGAATCTCGACCCTTGTTCGTGCAATGTAATGCAGCTTCGAGTGGAATAACATTAACACCTTGGAGCCCATGCAGCCCATATGTGGGCTGCAGTCCTGTCGACCGCGTAGGACCTTTCAGCCCACATTTCGGAAACAAATATTAGTTTTTCTTTCATTTCTTTTCCATTTCATTCGATAAGGTTTCTTCTGCATTATACAGTAGGTTTTTCTTTCCAATTTGCTTGATAAGATTCCTAAAAATCTCACTGAAGTCCCACGCGGCCGCAAAACGTAAAACATGCGCGGTCTCCAACGTGTTAATTAAGCCAGTTTTGATCGGG